TAAGAATTTCGTTAATAAAACAATGTAAAAGAGTCTTGGAATCATTCATAACTTCATCAACTGGTTAATTTCTTATTATAAAACTCATTTTTGTTAACACATATAGGAATTAACAAAAAACCAGGCAGAAACTATGAAAGTAGGATTCCCATCTTCTTTGTTCAAGTAGATCAAAGCCCAGTGCCTGTCACATCAATACATGTTGAGGTGAATGAAAGTCATCAAGAACTGCTACTAGCATTAAGGCCAACAATGGCTATTTTGTGTTCACTGACTAGTTCATCAAAGAGTGTGTACAGTCCACTAAAGATGGCCATCCTATATTTTCACCCACTGTTTAATCATATGAAAAAGCCCATTCATGGTTCAGAAACAGTTCCCACTGTAAAACTTCATTTTTAATATTCTTGAAGGTCAAGAGAAACCTATCTTTCTTTTTAGAGTGGCTTGGTTATTAAGTCATCATATTAGGATTTCTTATGGTATAGCTTTAAAGATAATCTCTGTCCTAAGATTGTTTTTCTAGATTTGGGAACAAATCGTCATAAAATCCCTGTGAATGGAAGTAGGAGAGAATGAGATGATCCAAGAGTAGGGCTTAGGTGGAGCCTTGATCCTGTGCTAGTGTAGTCTGACATGGGAAGGGAGGGGGAGATTTTTAAGAAGCTTATTGCTACCCCTTTCCCAGCTTAGCTGTGCTTCTGTTGCCTGTACCTGAGCACTGTGGTTAATAGTGGGTGAATAGACAGGGGTGAGTGTCTATAAACCTGTATCATGGAGTCCATGGGGTTCAGAATCCTAGGACCCCCCCCACTTGAATCTTCTCTTTTGTGAAGAGTTTACCTTGGCAATGAGTTGGAGCAGTTTTCTTTTAACGTGTATTATAGACATTAAGCAAAATTAGTTACACATCACTTGGTTAAAGTGGATACATTTCCTTACTCATGTTCGCAACTAGCACAGACAGTAGTCACCCCTGTGATTTTGTTTAGCCTGCCTATTGGGAATCTAAGTCTTACAGGATATGATTTCCTCCCCTGCCTAATAGGTACCAAGCCTAACAGTTGAATGTGAGGGAACCTGATATATTTATAGTTCCAGCTTAGATTTTTTCGTAAATTGGATCAGGTCAACCTTTCCCTGGTAAATTTTCAGCTCACTTATGATCCAAGAAAAGTTCATCTTCAGGGTTTCTTTCCCTTCCTACTAAAACCATGCCATCTTCAGCACTTCCCTCCAAATTGCCCGAGTTTCTAGATTGTCTTCTCTTCTTCCTCATTAAATCAGAACTCATCTGTCCTATATCATCTTAGATACTGGGTCTTTCAAAAGTTCCTAGGTGATAAAATGACCTGATAAGTCATTATTCTTCAAACCCAAACCTTCCTTTTCTGTTTTTCCAGCAGTAGGAGTCAGGTTGTGACAAGCAGGAGGCCTTCAGTGAATGACAGACCAGGTGATACTTACTATAGGACCATCCAGTGGTGTCCCCCACTCACCCACTCATCTCTGCCATTGGCATATGTTCCTGGATATGGGTGTAAAATGCAGTGTTGTGTCTGGTTTAAATGTATATAAATGGAACTGTGCTAAAAATACATTTACAGCTTTTTGCTCAACACATTTTAATATCTGTGCATGCCATTGTCCATTTGATTGCTCCTGACTGATGCACAGTGTTCCATAGTAAGCACATTTACCAGGCTTCTACTTGTTCTTAGATTTTTCAGTGGGTTACGAACCTAGACGGCTGCCAGCGCCGCCTGCTGCAAGCAGCACTGTGCTACCACCCTCACACGTGTTCCCCTCCTTTTCTGAAAGAGGTTTCCTCCGGTGTAGACTGAACTGTGGGTATGGGGCTCCAGGACATACTTAGCTTCACTAAACAGTGCCAGACTAGTCTACAGAATGGTTGTATTAGTTTAACAGTATTAGTTTCCCAGCAGTAGTACATGTGGGTTCCAGTTTCCCCATCTCCTTACTGATATTGGTTATTTTTTAATTGTCTAATTTTTGCCAATACAGTAGGTATAAATAATATCTTAGGTTAGTTTTAACTTGGACTTCTTTTGTTTACTAATAAGGCCACACATCTCTCATATAGTTCTTAGTCACTTGGGTTTCCTCTTTTGTAAACTGCCTAATCATAGTCCTTGTTCTCTGGTTTGGTTTTGTTTTGTTTTCTGATGAGTTTCCTGTCTTTCTTGTTGATTTTTCAAGAGTTTTTATTATATTCTAGCTATCAGTTGCTTTTCTTAGCCATAGTAAACAACTTCTACCAGCCTGCTACTTTTCTGCTAACATTGTCTATGGTGTCCTTAAGTTTTATGTAGGTAGATTCATTGAAATTTTCACCTTATGATTTGTATTTTTGAATCCTAATGAATAGAAAGGTCAGTAGAGCAGAATAGGAACTTCAGAAATAGAATTTAAGACATAAATATTTAGTATAAGATAACATTTATTAGTATTTCAAGACAGTGAAAAAGATAAATTTTTCAATACTTGGCATTTGAGTACTTAGGTAGCCTTCTTGGTATAGGGATGAGGAGGGAGGTCTCTACACTAACATAAATTCAAGTTGGATCAGACGTTTAAATATGAAAAGTGAAACTATAAAAATGTTCTCTCCACAGTGCACCTCCCATAGAATTCTATATTTTCAGTTCCTAGGAACCAGTACTAGGGAGCCCTACCTTTGCTTATTCTTTTTATCTGTTTAGAGTGCCTGTCACAGTTTGTTTAATTAGCAGTCTCCTTAAATCTGGAACATCTCATTGGGTTTAGCCTGGTTGTCACCTTTCTATGAAGTCTCTGAAACCTCTCAGGAAGTATTACATGCCTTCCTCTGTGCTTCCATAGTCCCTGTGGTGGCATCGAGTAGTCAACACATTTGTCTTCCATTATAGTTGATGCCATGTGGTAGAATTACTTACCTAGAATCTACTCAGTGTGAAGCAGGAAAACAATAAACATCAACAGAATATGCTTAGTCTAGAAAGGAAGCTATAGCTTAAATTGAAGCAAGTACTGATAGATAGCATGACACTTTGATTCTGAAGCCGATGAGGAGTTGGGTGAAAGTTGATTGCTTTTAGCAGAGTGGTGACATCAAAGTGGTACTTCAAGATTAATCCAGCAGAAGAATAAAGGACAAGTACAAAGAAGAGGGAAAACGCAAGAACAGCCCGATGGCTATGGCAGCAACTTAAGCATGTGGTAAAATAGTGCTGAGCTGGTGGGACTAGAAAAGAAGTGGGTACAACTGACATTCACAGGAAGAAGCCTCAGGGCTTGGTAGCTGGTTGATTGTGAATGGCAGGAAGGAGGAGGAGTCAGAGATGCCTTTGTGTGTGACGAAGCTGACAGCCACAGTGCCTGTGGACAGGTCTGACTGGCATAATTTAGCCTTGGGGTTTGGCAAAACCAGAATTTTCAGGTGAATGATGGAAAGACTTAGTTGCTTGGGCTGCTCTGTAGAGCTGATTGCGGCTATTTGGAACTTAGATGGAGTGAGGTGATGGTGGTAGGAGGGCTTTACACATACTGTCCAGGTCCTTCAGGTCTTTCTGGAATGTCCAGGGGAAGAGGAAGAAGAGGCACTGCCTTCCTCTCTTGGCTCCAGTGTACTCACTTCAGAGGGTGAACTAGTCTGACTAACCTCAGCCCCACCTGATCCCCTAGCACCTTCAGGTTGGACAGCTGCTGCCTCCTGACCAGCCATGCTGGGCAGATGGAGATTTACTAAGACTGTAGCTCTCTTGTGACCTTGTTCTCTTTGTTCAATGGATAAACCAGACTTTCAAAAAAAAAAAAAAATGTTACTGGTAAGTAATGAGAAATAAACACAATAAGTACAAGAGAATAACTAGAAAAACACGTGTGACTCACATTTCTGCTCCTGATATGTTGGGCTTGTCATGACTTCTTTGTGATGCTTGTTCTGCTCTCCTGGTAGATGTCCATTTCTTCATCTATGGGGCTATGTTAGTCCGGCCTCACTTTTCACAATGTGCACTGTGTGCAAACCCAAAAAGTTATCCCTTGACTGTACAAGGAGACTAAATATTTAAAGTGGTACTGACCTTCATAGACTCACATCTGTGAATCACTGCTGTCAGACCCGTCTGCTCTTTGTCCCCTGCTCCTTTTTCTCATCACATTCCCTTTCCAGGGCAGAGCAGAGAAGAGGGCCGCTTCCTTGCCCTCCTTCTTCAGAAAGCTCTGCTCTCTTTACAGTGGGCCTCCCATGGAATGCTGTATTTTTAGTTCCTGGGAACTTGGACATGGGAGCCCCTGGTTCTGCATTCCTTAAGAGATCAAAGAAGACGTCATCTTGAGCCTATGAAGGATATTGAACCAAGGTTTTCACCTTCTTCCCCATAACCTCTGCCTTTTGTAGAATTCTGGTAAGCTTTCTCATATTCTTTCAAAAGAATAATTTGTAAAAGTCTAACATTATAGTTTTATAGTGTCAGAATAGCTTTTAAAATGATAATAACACAGGAAAACGGTGTGCTCTTGAGTGGTGTGGTAAATGACCACCCTTCAACCACACTGGGAGGGCCTTAGCGTGTGGTGCTGAGTGCACAGACCTGTAGCCAAACTCCAGATCCTTTCCCACCCATTAGACGGTTCCACTGCTTCCTTCATTGTATCTTTCATCTCACTGTTGTGTGGGGGGAAGACCTATTGCCCCTTGACCCCCTACTTTCCTTGGAACAGTGATTTACTTAGTTCAGGAATGAATTAGAGCTGAGTTAGTGGGCAGGAATCTATAGACCAGTAGAAATCCAGGGCGGTGCAAATTTCCAAGAAGAGGAAGTTTGTTGCTGATGGCATCTTCAAAGCTGAACTGAACGAATTTCTCACTCGGGAGCTGGCAGAAGATGGCTACTCTAGAGTTGAGGTCCAAGTTACACCAACCAGGGCAGAAATAATTATTTTAGCCACCAAGACACAGAATGATCTTGGTGAAAAGGGCCGACATATCTGGGAATTGACTGCTGTGGTTCAGAAGAGGTTTGGCTTCCCTGAGGGCAGTGTAGAGCTTTATGCCGAAAAGGCGGCCACAAGAGGTCTGTGTGCTATTGCCCAGGCAGAGTCTCTGCGTTACAAACTCCTCGGAGGCCTTGCGGTGCAGAGAGCCTGCTGTGGTGTGCTGTGGTTCATCATGGAGAGTGGGGCCAAAGGCTGCGAGGTCGTGGTGTCTGGGAAACTCCGAAGACAGAAGGCTAAATCCATGAGGTTTGTTGATGGTCTGATGATCGGCAGTGGGGACCCTGTTAACTACTATGTTGACACTGCTGTGCGCCGTGTGCTGCTCAGGCAAGGTGTGCTTGGCATCAAAGTGAAGATCATGCTTCCTGGGGACCCAAGTGGTAAGATAGGCCCTAAGAAGCCCCTGCCTGACCATGTGAGCATTGGGGAACCCAAAAATGAGTTACTGCCCACCACCCCCATCTCAGAACAGAAGGGTGGGAAGCCAGAGCTGCCTGCCAGGCCCCAGCCAGTACCCACAGCGTAACAGGGTCTCCTTGGCAGCTGGATCTGGAGTCTGGATATTACTCTATAAAGACCTTTAATAAAATCTTTTTAAAAGATGAAAAAGAAAAAAAAAAAATCCCAGCTTTGGCCTTTCCTCTCTACATTTCCTATCCCACCTTTCTTGGGCCCCAGCTACTCACTTTACCCAGGGATGTAGCTGTGACATCCACATCTGCTTTTGCCTCGCTTTGTCACCAGTCATTGTCATCAGCACACTTATATGTCCTGTGTGCATGTGTGCACTAAATTCATATTAGGTATTTAACTTACTAGACTGACTACTGTAGAGAGTTTCACCAAGGATATCTTAACTTCTGAGTTGCATATTATTGGCTGTGTAGATGGTTTATATAAAGTCTCTGTATTGTTTAGGCTTTCTTATTATTAAACACATTTTAAACTTTTAACATTTTTCTAAAGTCTTTTTTTACCATTTGGAATAATGGCAATTTACAGAAAGTATATATGTTCAGAATCTTCTGTTCCTTAGTCTTGCTCTTAAATTGCCATGACTTGTGCGGATACACCTGAAAAATGAAGAGAAATGGGATAGGGAATAGTTTCTTCTTTAATCTGTTCTGATGTCTTCAGGACTTCTGTGAGAAGATTGCACAGTATTAAATGACGAGGTCCACCTAAAGGTGTTAGTACTGATTGGGCTTTCTCCACAATTAGTCACACTTTTATTAAAAATAGTACACATATGAGCGTGCATCCATACGCGCACACACACCAAATTGTACATATCGTCATTTTAGCTCATATGCCCTCACATATCCTTAAAGAGGCTTATCAGGCAACCTGGCAGTATTTTCAGTTTAGGAAGGACATGACCATCTATCACTTCACTTGCTATAATATTAAGTTATATGTAATCAATAGGTGGCTTATTCCCTATTAGTCTTCTTTGACCTAGAAGATTTTGTTGAACTCAGTTGTTTGTTGTTCAGAGGCTGAAGAGAACACCTACTAAAAGAGTCAGAGAACTATTTGATAAATAGTGTTGGGAAAATTGGACAGATACGTGCAAAAAAATGAAAATAGACCATCTTCTTAAACTCAAAGTGGATTAGAATAAAACACAAGAATAAACTCAAAGTGGATTAGAGACTTAAATGTTAGACTTGAAACCATAAAAATCCTAGGAGGAAACATAGGCAGTAAAATCTCAGACATTTCTCATAGCAGTATTTTTTCTGATATATGGCCTTGGGCAAGGGAAACAAAAGAAAAAATAAACAGCCCTGGCCGGTTTGGCTCAGCGGTTAGAGCGTCAGCCTGCAGTCCTGAGAGACCCGGGTTCGGTTCCCGCTAGGGGCACGTACCTTGGTTGCAGTTTGTCCCCGGCCCTGGTTGGTCGTGCGGGTGGCAGCCACTCGATGTGTTCCTTTCACATCGATGTTTCTCTCTCTCTCTCCGTTCCTCTCTCTCCCTCCCACTCTATCTGAATAAAAAATGGAAAAGTGTCCTCCGGTGAGGATAAAAAAAAAAAAAAAAAATCACTTGAAAAAGAAAAAATAAACAAATCAGACTACATCAAACTAGCAAGTTTTTGCACAGAAAAGGAAAGCATCAACAAAATTAAAAGAACCCACTGAAAGGGAGAACAAATTCACCAATACATTTGATAAGGGTTTAACATCCAAAATTTATAGGGACCTTATAAAACTCAACATCAAAAAAGCCAAATAATCCAATTAAGAAATGGGCAAAGGACCTGAATAGACACATCTCCAAAGAGGACATACAGATGGCCAATAGACATTTGAAAGGATGTTCATCATTACTAATCATCAGAGAGATGCAACTTAAAACTACAATGAGATATCACCTCACATCTGTCAGAATGACTGTCATCGAGAAATCAGCAAACAACAAGTGCTGGCAAGGATGTGCAGAAAAGTGACTCCTCATGCACTGTTGGTGGGAATACAGATTGGTGCAACCACTGTGGAAGGCAGTATGGAGTTACCTCAAAAAATTAATAATTGAACTGCCTTATGATCAGTGATTCCACTTCTGGGAATATTCCAAAGAAACCTGAGACACTAATTTGAAAGAACATATGCACCCCTATGTTCATTGCAGCATTATTTACAGTAGCCAAGATCTGGAAGCAGCCCAAGTGTCCATCGGTAGATGAGTGGATAAAAAAGCTGTGCTTCATTTACACAATGGAATACTACTTGGCCATAAAAAGAAGGAAATCTTACCTTTTGCAACTGCATGGATGGACCTGGAGAGTATTATGCTAAGTGAAATAAGCCACTCAGAGAAAGACAAGTACTATATGATTTCACTTATATGTGGAATGTAATGAACAATATTAACAAAGTAGAGACAGACTCATGGAAACACACCAACAGATAGTTGTCAGGATAGGGGAGGCTGGATGAGCAGGGTGAAGGGAATAAGCAAAGAAAAAAAAGAACGAAAGACTTCCCCAGGCGCATGTGGCTCAGTTGATTGGAGTGTCGTCCTATACACCCAAAAGTGATGGGTTTGATTCTTCCTGGTCAGGGCACATACCCAGGTTGGGATTTGATCCCTGGTTGCGGTGATGATTTTCTTTCTCTCTCTCCCTTCCTCTCTCTAAAATCAATTTTAAGAAAGCAAACTTTAGTGTGCTTGTACCTTATTTTTTAAAAAATAGAAGAAAGACTCATGAACACAGACAACAGTATTGTGATTACCAGAGGGAAAGGGGGTTGGGGAGGTAGAATAGAGTAAAGGGGGATAAATGGTGATGGATGAAGACGTGACTTGGGGTGGTGAACACACAATACAATGTACAGATGATGTACTATAGAACTGTATGCCTGAAACTTGTATAATTTTATTAACCAATATCACCCCAATAAATTCAATTTTTTAAAAAAGTCAATGGACTGTATGAAATTGAGGGGCTTATAGGAGACAGTTTCAATGTCCTTTTTTCCGAAAAAAAAAAAAGAACTTTGTGAGATAGTATTAAATTATGGGACCTTAATATTCTATGTAGAAATTGCAATAGCATCATGGCTTCCAAACAATCTAGACTCTTGGGGGTGTCAACCAAACTTGAATTAGTAATTAGCTCTTGTTACTTCAGCTAAACTCTGAACTGTCATGAAGCTGGAAAAGGAGACATACTTTTGTGGTGTCTGAAGCAGAAAAGACTAGAATTAATAAACCACACAGGGAGAACCTGAGTCTGAGCATGAAAGAGCATAAAAGTACAGACCCCAAGTGCAAATGAAAGTGCCAGAATATTCTTCTATCAAATCATCTGCACCAAAGTAATTTTTAGTACACCTGTGTTTCCTTAAAAACAATTCTTACATATTGATAGTGGAAAAGGATATAAAAGAGAAATTGAACATCACCAAACTAGTTGACTTAAGGGTTTCTAATTCTCTTTGTCAAAATGGTCATGGCCCTGAGTCTGGATGACTCTTACTCAAGCTGAGCCTTTCATTTGGGGGATAAGGCATTTGCTGTCTAGGCTCACTAACTCTTGTCTCTTGTGCTTGGTTTCTCTAGAAGTAATCCACGACTTCAGAATGGAACACGGGCCCTTTCCCCTCTTCCTGTGATCAAGCCATTGGCCAACGTTTCTGTGGGGATGCCTATAAACCACCAGAAATCAGACTCTTTGGAGATGGACCCTGAGTTGTCGCCCAGCTGCAGGCTCAGTGACCTGAGCAGAGGGGGCAGTCTGGAGAGTCGAAGTAGCAGTTCTCGCTCCAGAAGTCTCACTTCGGTGAGTGATGGTTTCGTTTAATGCTTTGATGTGCTTCAGTTGGCTGGCTTTTCCCCTTTAAGGAAGATCTTACCACATTCTTTTGGGGTAATTTGCTTGCTGTTTTGGAATACTTGCTTTGTGAAATGGCATTTAATTTTTAATCATCTTAAATTTTGCACAAATACAGAGCGTCATCCACATCACTCAGCTGATGATGTGGCTGCTCAGACCCAGGGAGCTCCCTGACTGAACGCGGCCACAAACGTAGGCAGGGCCTGGTGCCTTTCAATTCAAAAGACCTGAAGGAATAGAAGCTCCTCACAGGGTAAAAACAAATCCACTTTAAAACAGATTGTTAACTCCTTCACAAATATAAATGCTTTTGTATCCCTTTATCTCAGAATTCAGATCCTTACATATCATCAACAAACTTGGGGAACTTTCATAAAAAGAGCCTTTTTTGTAAAGTTAAGAGATGACCTTTTTGTACACCTCTCAGGGTATTCATCTTTCAGGATTGAGACTTTTATATTCATATAGGGAAGGACAGGAAAGAATTAACCTTGGACTTTACTAATAATGGTCTATTGTTTATCTCAGTCCATCTTCTAGTGGGAGCACAATTTTCCTTCAGATACTCTGAGCCCTAAAATTAACGCCAATTATGCTGAATATAAGAATGATATATACAGCCCTGGCCGGTTTGGCTCAGCAGTTAGAGCGTCAGCCCGCGGACCAGAGAGGCCCGGGTTTGGTTCCCACTAAGGGTATGTATCTTGGTTGCAGTTTGTCCCCGGTCCCAGTTGGGGTCGTGTGGGTGGTGACCACTCCATGTGTCTCTCTCACATTGATGTTTCTCTCTCTCTCTTCCTCCCTCTCTCCCTCCTGCTCTATCTGAAGATAAATGCAAAAAATGTCCTAGGGTGAGGATAAAAAAAAAAGAACGCCTGGCCGTTTTGGCTCAGCGGTTAGAGCATCGGCCTGAGGACCAAAGAGGCATGGGTTCAATTCCAGTCAAGGGCATGTGCCTCGGTTGCAGTTTGGTTCCTGGCCCTGGCTGGGGTCCTGCAGGAGGCAACCAGTCAATGTGTCTCTCTCATATCTATGTTTCTCTCTCTCTCTCTCACTCTCACTCTCTCTCCCCCTCCCACTCAGTCTGAAGATGAATGGAGGACTGTCCTTGGGTGAGGATAAAAAAAAAAAAGATATATATAATATAGAGGGCAGTTAATAGCAAGATAGAATTTAATGGATTCCTATTTGCATGTTTTCATTTTTTAAATCATCATGGTAGTATGTAATATAGTAAAACCTTGATATAACAGACTTAATCAGGCAAGGGGTGTCTATTAAAGATGAAAGTTTGTTATATAATAAAGCAGATTTTCTGAATGCATATGTTAAAAAATTGACAAATTAGTCAGTTCACCTGTTTTTACTTTTGTAGGCATGTTTGTGTAATTAAAACTAAGTACACATGAGCCTTGGCAGGTTTGGCTCAGCGATTAGAGCATTGGCCCATGGACCAATGAGTTGTGGGTTTGATTTCAGTCAAGGGCACATACCTTGGTTGCAGTTCGTCCCCAGCCCTGGTCCGGGTCGTGCAGGAGGCAACCAGTCGATGTGTCTCTCTCACATCCATATCTCTCTCTCTCTCTTTCCCTCTCTCCCTCCCTGCCACTCTATCTGAAGATGAATAGAAAAATATCCTCTGGTGAGGATTGAGAAAAAATTTAAGTATATATGATAAGTTTAATTTCACGGAGAAGTTTTCTGTATTACTATAATTTTAAATTTACACTAAGTAGCTCTAGTAAATGAGTGAATTCACCAGTCACCAAGAGTAAACAAATGTACAGAGCTGGGGCGTGGCCTGGTACGTGTCAGAACATTAGCCTTCACACGTTAAAACTGCTGCAGAAAGTCACGCCATGCAACAACAGAACGAATTCCTGCCAGTGATGCGGTGTGATCACATGTTAATCATTCACTGAACATTGTTTACGAGTGGTGACTCTTGGATTTAAATATGTAGACTATAGTTGTGGATATGTACTATTTATTTATTTATTTATTTATTTATTTTTTATCCTCACCCGAGGACATTTTTCCATTTTTTGTTCAGGTAGCGTGGGAGGGAGAGAGAGGAACAGAGAGAAAGAGAGAAACATCGATGTGAAAGGAACACATCGAGTGGCTGCCACCCGCACAACTGACCAGGGCCGGGGACAAACTGCAACCGAGGTACGTGCCCTTAGTGGGAACCGAACCCGGGTCTCTCAGGACCGCAGGCTGACGCTCTAACCGCTGAGCCAAACCGGCCAGGGCTGTACTATTTATTTATGTCAGCAAAATTACTATGTCTTTTTCCAACATATGGCCTATTTGCTAAAATTTGTTAAAAATAACAGTGAGCCCAGCCACTGTGGTTCAGTGGTTGAGCATCACCCATGCACTAAGAGGTCGCCAGTTCAATTCCTGGTCAGGGCACATGCCCAGGTTGGGGGCCCGATCCCCAGTGTGGGGCATACAGGAGGCAGCCTTTTGATGTTCTCTCTCATTGATGTTTCCATCTCTCCCTCTCCCTTCCTCTCTCTAAAATCAATTAAATAAATAAATAAATAAATAACAGTGAACTCATAACAAAAAAGTAACCTGCTGATTTAATTTTAAGAACATCTTGGTTAAAAGCATTTTAAAATTAACAGGGTGTTAATTTTCACATATGACATATGGACCAGAAATTTTATCCATTAAATCTGAAGTCTGTTAAATTGAGGTCCACAAAATCAATTGTAAATTGATTTGATAGATTCACTGAAAGAATATATTACAAATTACAGTCTGAAAATCTGAGAACTTACAAATCCTTAAGAATGGAGAATTTTTTAAATTAAAAATATATATAAAGAATATATTAATCCCTGGCCAATTTGGCTCAGCGGTTAGAGCATTGGCCCACAGACCAGAGAGTCCCGGGTCCAGTTCCCACTAAGAGCACGTACCTCTGTTGTGGTTCGTCCCTGGCCCCAGTTGGGGTCTTGTGGGTGGCAACCAGTTGATGTGTCTCTCTTGCATCAGTGTTTCTCTCTCTCTGTTCCTCCCTCTCTCCCTCCGGCTCTATCTGAAGATAAATGCAAAAATGTCCTCAGGTGAGGATAAAAAAAAAGAATATATTAAAGGAGATTTTAAACGAGTATGTAGGAAAGACATACAAATTAATACTCCAGTGACCAGTGGGGTATAGTCTTTAAAGAATAGTTAGGAAGCAGTCCTGCTCTGACATAGAAGGCTGTATCTAAGCTTGATGTGGCTAACTTGGGTACATTAGTCTAAAAGGCTGTCTTGCATGTGTGGTAATGGAAAACAACTGAGAATGATCATCAGATGATCACTTTATCTAAGGAATGGGTGTAGTGCATTAGGGGTCAAGGTATTTGAATTATGTTTTTGCATTTCATGTTCATTTTCATGTATCCTGGCCTCTTGATAGAGAACTGAAACAATACCGACTCTCTGTCTTCTCCTAGGAGATAATGTGTCCCAAGTATGCCCAGTGCTTTGGACTTGGGGAAGGAAAGTTGCTACTTTTGTATCTCCATTCTAATCTTATAGGGTCCATCCTTCATATTAACCAATTAATGCCTACTTTTACTAAATCCTATGTGGTAGCTCAAACTCACATGCTCCAAATAGGATATGATTGATCTGTACATGCATATCCATTGAGGTGTGGCATTAACTGACTGTCCTGTATGACCTACTGTGTTTTGTGTGTGTGTGAGTTATACAGCTGCTCAAATGTTGCAGCACTGTTCTAGCTGTTAAGGACACAACAGTGGAACCTATATTCTGGTGACTGTGATCCATTATGACAGGACAGGTTATTACAAATTGGCTTCCCAGCTGCAGATTCTGAGATGGAGGTTAGGAGGTAAGAGTGCAGGAGGCTTATTAGGACTGTTTCTGGAATCAACATCTGGAAGGAAGAGGAAGCAGGACTGGGTAGAGTGAGAAGTTAAGCTGTGATGTAGACCCAATGAAGGACTTAGCTGTTGCTTAGAAAGCTCTGAGGCTAGGATAGAATAGTCCCTCAGTTGTCCCCACTGGATCAAGAGTAGAGTCTTTATATTCATTCAGTGATTAGTTATTAGATACAGGACCCCTCTGGAAGGAGGCATGAGCTTGAAGAGACAGTTTCTTTCCATTCAAGAGAGTTTCCAAAGAAGCCTGACAGCTGAGGACCACCTTCCAGCAGCATTGCCATCAGATAGGAGAACAGTTCCTTCATTTCCAAGGGGTGATCTGGGCGGTGCGTCACACTGACTACTAAGAAGGTTTAGCAGAAAATGAAATAAGGTCTCTTAGAGGGATCAAAGCTGCCCGAGTGCCTGCAATATATCTTAACTGGAAGAAGCAAGTCTGGAAATGAGTCCAGGGAGTTTGCAGGATACTGCCATGTAAAACACAACTCTTGTGTGCAGGCAAATGGGATCTTAAGGTGTGTCATCTGGCAAAAATTTGGAAAATATGCATCATGTTTACTCTTTGTCAAGATGTCATACATTGGAATACATCTTCAGAGAAAGAGGCTCTTGTTTGAAAGAAAGTCGACATTTCAGCTCCAAAGTCACAAAGAGAAATAAAAATGGCTTATTATAGCCCTGGCCGGTTTTGCTCAGCGGTTAGAACGTCCGCCTGCGGTCCGGAGAGACCCGGGTTCGGTTCGCGCTAAGGGCATGTATCTCGGTTGCAGTTTGTCCCCGGCCCTGGTTGGTCGTGCGGGTGGCAGCCACTCGATGTGTCCCTTTCACGTCGATGTTTCCCTCTCTCTCTCTCTTCCGTTCTCTCCCTCCCACTCTATCTGTGCAAAATGGAAAAATGTCCTCGGGTGAGGATTTAAAAAAAAAAAAAAAAATGGCTTATTATAAAACATTTTATCATGGATGTATATTTTGGTAATATAAGATATTAGAAATATCATTAGGTTTATAGATGGAATAAACTGATAAATACCA